TGCTAGGTTAACGGTTGGACTTGATGATCTTAAAGGTCTTTTCCAACCTAAATGATTCTATGATTCTATGGTATACGGCCCAGGCCACCCCCGGGAGGGACTGGGTCCCACCGTGGCCACTGCATTAGCAGGCAGGGTGGCTGTGAGCCTGTTGTCACAGCAGGTATTTGGTGCCTCAGGAAAGGGGGCAAGCGCAGGCGGCTGTAAGGGGCTCAGCAGGCGGTCAGCCGTTGGCTGGTGACCTGGGGCTCAACCTAGGCTCTCCCTGAGGAGAAAACATCCATCACCTCCTTCTAACCCACCTCTGTTTTTCCAAGGAATTGGGTCTTTTGTCTACCTTGTGTATCTGAAGTGGCTCTGAATAAAAGCCTCGTTGAGACTCATCCCTAAAAGTGTCTAGAAGTCAGCAGAAAATAAAAAACAAAGGGAAGAGTCCAGTTTGTGGCAGCCTACTTTAAAACAATTATATGCATCATCCCACTGTCCAAACTGTAAGTTGATCTGAGCTAAAGGGTCTAGAAACTAGAATGCATCTACCTGCAAAACGCTATCTCCATGACACGACACGTGGGCGCTGCGGGGAGGCACAAGCCCACGGCTCCTACCTGGGCAGAGGCCAGGACAGCGGAGGACCCAACTCTTGCCATGGCCTTCACCTTGGTGGAACGCCTGCATTTGTGTCTTTTAAGCTTAATTATGTCTTTTTTCATTCTAGACCTTTTTCCTCACTTGTTGCCTCTGTTTAATTGCTGCAGCAATTAACATGTCTCTGTTCAATACCAGCCGGGTCTCCGTAGTGGAGGCAGCTGCTGGCCGTACCCCATTTCCCCAGCAGCAATCCTTTCAGATCCAGCACAAAGTAGGTGCTGTGTTTTCCTTTACTTTAAAACATTTTGCTGGAAAAAAATCCTGTGAAAGGTGTTTTCCTTCAAAACCCAATAAACCCAAGTAACATCCAGGAGATACCCTGAGGCACCACGGGACAATGTGAACCACGTGAAGTTGTCTGAAGCGAGACAGCAGGTACTTTCATGGTTAGAACAAAAGACATCCTTGACGTTTACAAAATGCTCTGCCATTTTCATCAAACGTTGCTGTTCCGTGGTTGATCCTACCCGAGCTGTGGTCTCTGCTTGCAGGTGCCGTGCTCTGAAGTGTTTGCACTGCCACCATTAACAACCCCTCGAAGTTCATCAAATCCAGCAAAGCGACCTGCAGAGATCAGCGCTTTGACTCAGCTTACGCGACCACGGCGCAGGTTTCTCCTCCAACAAGCTCTCCGCTTTGCCTGGTTGCAGCACAGCCACTGGGATCACACTCCAGGCTGTTACGTATTTGTACGGCATTGTAGGTTTTTTTTTCACCGAGGCATTTAAAATAAAAGAATTTCTTAAAACACGCACTGCATTCGTGTAGGTTTTTGACATTCATTGAGCATCCCCATGTCCTCCTGTAGCTCTTCCCCTTCAGTGATCAAGCCACCTTCAAATCAGAACCACTTGCAGTTATTTTTTCCAGCTTTTTTTTCTTATTTTTTTATCATCAGATTTCCAAGGAAAAGCTTCCCAGATGTGTAGAGAAAGGAGTTATGAAAACATAACCAGGATGCAGCTTCTTCCTTTTTACATAAGAGCACCTCCCTTCATTCCAGAAACACCCGCCCCTGAACTGGATCAGACACCCCCATTTTAAGCTCCTTCACAGCACATCCAAACCTGCTGAAGGGCTGCGGAATTTTTAATTGCTGCATAAATTCAGACGACTCAAGAGGCCAGAAAAAACATACAATGGCAAGCTTTACTGTTTCTATTTGTTGAAGGTTCAGTTACGTTAGAAGAGTACATAAACAGAGCAAGGGTCCTCTGTCCGCCGTGAGGGCACTGCACCGGCACCACCCCTGAAGCTCCCACCCAGCCCACCAGCACCGACTGCCCGGTGAAGCCAGGACACGCGCGGCTGAAGCCTGGGGCCCCCCGCGGGGACGCACCAGGAGCTCAGCGATGGCACGACACCAAATCTCACCTGGCTCGGGTTTCAGCTCAGTGGCATTCAAAAGCTTTCTCCAATTCAGCATGGATCGCGATTATCCAAACTGGTTCTTTACAGGCCACAAGGCACTAAAAGCATCTTCCACCACTCTCTTTGTCAAGAATAATTATCAATCTGTGTTACTCGAGTCAAATCCTGCTATCCCACCCTTCCACTCTGGATAGTGTAGGATCACTTCAGGTCCCACCGAGGTCAGGGATCAGCTGAAACCTCTATTCCAACTCCCACCACATCCCCTTCCAAAGGCGAGTCACATTACCGCTCGTCAGGGACAGTTTTGGTTTTTCACTCTTCAGCCTCCCCCTTTCCCCATTTCCCGATCCCCAGCGCAGCGTGGTTAACTGCTCACGAGCTCCTGCATTCAGCAACCTCCACTTCACCACACAATACTTCAGCGAAGGCTTCCCTTTAGCCAGTGTTTTTACAGCATATGGGAACCGCTCCGTGACGTTTGTTTCAGCTCATTAATACTATAGCATTTCCACTTAGTGCAAAGCTGGAACGAAAGCACATTCCGAAAGACTTTAAGCTAGTACATCTGAAATTACCAAGTTTGCTTAATGTGCTCAAGCCTTTCAAAAAGCCAAGTCTACCCCCTAACTGGATGATGAGACTCACGCTAGCCAGAACGCTTTTCAAGCCCCCGTTCCGAGGGCTGCAGGATCAGCAGCGACGTTCTACCACCGCCCACCACGCAGCCATCCCACTGTCGGAGCAGGCTGCTGGCCTTTGACAAAACGGCAGCGTTACCCTCCTGCTGTTACTCCGTTAGTGCAAAAGCACCGGGGCCGGGAACTGGCAATTACTGGGCACAGCAGCACTCTCAAAGCCTCTCAGCTCAGAAACAACGGCAGTTTTGCATTACATGTGTACGCTTACACAACCTTAACAGCTGCGTAACATCTGCAGACTGGCATTGAACTTCAGCCAGTGCTTCAGCTACTTACGGTAACACTTACACAACCTCAGGAAAACCACAGCTCAAGGATTAGTCACACATGCCTGGCAAGCGTGAGCCTTGTGTAAGGCAGTTTTGCAATACCTTTCTATGTGGAATTGTAGTTTATTAATGTAACTGTAGTAATGCAATTCTAGTTTATTAACTTGAGACATGAAATTTTGTGGATGCAACAGCTTTATTGGAATGAACAAGTGCAGATAAACTTTTACTTGGAAGCAAGCAACAACCAGCCCAGCCAGTTCAGTTACCACCCCTCAGGCGCAGCACAAGATGCAGGGTGGATTCCTTCTGGATGTTGTAGTCGGACAGGGTGCGCCCATCTTCCAGCTGCTTGCCAGCAAAGATCAGCCTCTGCTGATCGGGGGGAATGCCTTCCTTGTCCTGGATCTTGGCCTTGACGTTCTCAATGGTGTCACTGGGCTCAACCTCCAAGGTGATGGTCTTGCCAGTCAAGGTCTTCACAAAGATCTGCATTTTTCTCTGCAAGAAGAGAAATCACTCTACTTTAGTCGCTTCCCCCCCTCCTTCCCATGGGAAGCTGCAGCAAGGCCAAGCAGGAGCCCAGCTCCCTCCAAGCAGCACACCGGTGGGGCTGGGCTCCCTGGGAGCGGCCCGTCCCCGCTCCACGCCCTGTGACGTCACAGTGGAGGAACCGCCCACATCCTCAAGGGAGGCGGGGCCACCCGCCCCGTTCCCCTTCCCGCCCACGGCGCGCGCGCCCGCCACCATCTTGAAGGGCCGCTGCGCCTGCGCGGCCGCCATTTTGCCGATGGCTTCTCGTACACCCCTCTCCCGCCCACCTCCGCCGCCGGCTCGCGGTGCTGCCGCTAAGGGGGAGGGGAACGTCCCGGCCCACGCCCCGCCCGTAGCCCGCCACCTCCTCCAGCCGCATACCCTTCCCCCTCAGCGCACACACACATCTCCCGCCCGGCCACCTAGCACGCATCTAAGCCCTACCGCCGCCACGACAAACGGCTCTACCCTCCGCTTTCCCCGCGGAGGCACGGGGAAGCCGAGCCGCGGAGCACTCACCGCGGGGCCCGCAGGCCAAGCCGACAAAGCAACACTCTCCAAGACTTACACAACTCCAACTACGCCACACATTCCCCTCCCGCCCCTTATATAGCCTCTGCCGCCCCGCCCCTGCGGCTCAGATCACTCCGCCAGGCACTATTTTCCCTGTGGCGCGCGCCCCAGCTCTACTGTGCGGGTGGAAGGAAGCGAGGCCCGGCAGCGCGGAGGAGTCAGCGCCTCGCGAGGTGACAAGGTCCGGACTGGCAGGCGGGAGTGAGTGCGCAAAGGAGCGCGGAGAAAAACCTGGCGTGGAGTCGTCGGAGCGGGGCCAGGGCCCGGAGCCGGGGACGGGGGGGGCGCCTGTGGTGTCTCAGCGAGCCGAGGTCTCTCGACTTTGGAGACGCCCTTGTGCCTAAAGCTTCTTGTCAGAGCCTTACATTTTATTAAGGGATTTAAACCTCTACAGTTGCGCCCCTGTTTCAAAAGCGCCTCCTTGATTTTCTTCCCTGGGGCAGGATGAGGGGCAGCTCTGCCTGTGGGCCTTGCTGGGAGGCAGGCAGGCTCTGAGGTGCCTGGAGGGAGAGAGACTGTTGTTTTAGTCAGAAGGAAGATGCACATTGCTATTTAAGAAGTCTCCGATGTGTTTCAGCATGCTAGAGGGAGAGAAGCGGCGGGGGAGTGTGGGCTTCCCCACCCAGGAGCGGGACCGGTGTGAGCAGGCACAAACCCGCTGGGACTGGCACAGGTGAAGCCTGCAGGCAGGTTTGTGCCAGGCCCTCTGTGCCACCGTGGCCTGTAGAGCAAGGCACAGGGAAAACAAGTCGGTGTCCAGCCGCCACGATGATGCTGGGATGCACTGGGGCCGGAGCAGGCTGAAGGGCAGAGACCGCACCAGGGCAGGGAGGCTGCAGGAGACTCCTGCCAGGGGACGGAGATCAGGCAGCCCGGAGAGGGGAGAGGTGACGTGAGGGACAAAAAAGGCCTGATGGACAAAGAGATCTGAATCCTGCAGAGAGTCTGTCTGCCTGAGATATAAACAGCGAGTATATATATATGCAGACATAAAGTGGAGTATGCATCTGAGATATAATGGAGTTTATAACGCAGGACTAAGGCCTTGCCGCTGGGGTAAAATCAATCATAAATAGAAATAATAGTAATGCCTGTTTCTTACTCTGTTCTCGCTTACAGAGCACCTTCTGGTAGATCTCTGCTGCACTCAGTTGCCTCCTGTGCCATCCTAGTCAAACTACAGCAAGTCAAGGGCATAGCTGGGAACAAAACGGGGCTTTGTTTGCAAGATTCGTGAGATGCCATTCGGTTCAATCCGCCTACAAAATCCTGCGTTTGCCGACACCCGCGGAAAACCGCTGCCTACCAAACGGACACAGATAACACCCAGGGCTGCACAGCAGTAGGAAGGGAGCAGAGGCCCAGCAACAGCTTTGTGATTGGTTTGAGGGAAACCGGCCTGCATTTGCCTGACACACGGAGCTTCTACAGGAGGGGAATGCTCTGGGGAGCTTCTCGGCCTCTGCTGCCTTGCGTTTGTATTAAAACTCAGCATTGCAATAGCGGTAATAATCTCAAACACCCGGGTCGTTTAGCTGGGGAAAAAAAATCCACAAAAGTATTTTGGTTTCTTCTCGGGTTAGAATCGTGCTCAGTGGCTTGTGTTGTGTGCATTTGGAGTTCTATAAACATAAAAGATTGGAATAGCCTTTCAGATTTAGGTCTTTCCTCATCTGAAAGTGAATACTAATGCTAAGTTCATTCTTTTAGTTACAGAGTGAGCACTCAGGACTGGTCTGAAAATACTCTAAAAGGCACATGGCAATGTATGTCATGACAAGATGGAGTTTTGTAATGGGAAGAAATGAAGATGATACAGTGCTGTTCTTCATCTAATTAGGGTAGGCGGCCAACCACTGAGCATCCTGAGTGAGTTTGTACCCGATGTCTGAATCAAATGGTGGAGCAGCACGCCCCTAAAGGTTCAGATCTGTGTTATACTCAGATTGCAAGGCAGATGTTAGGCCCTAATGCAACAGAGTCCTTAAACACGTCTGGCTGGTTTGCAGGAGAACAGTGCTTTCCCGAGCTGGGAGGGACTTTGAACAAAGCCACTCTGTGTTTCTCTGACGCTGTCTGTACGGGTACCCCTTGCTACTATTTCAAGACAAGCTTGGTGAATAGTAGGATGTTGGTCCTAACAGACTGTTGTCCCTAATGCGGGCTCGTTACCCGGTGCGCAACGCCAGTTTACAGACCGAGGGGGGGTATTTCCATTTCTTTTATTCTAGTTTGCGCAAAGTAGGGAGCTAGGTGGTAGCCCACAAAAGACTAGCTCTCCGATTATCAAAACTTCACACTATTTATACTCTGTCACCTATTGGTTAAATGATTCTCTCGCTTCTTATGCTAATTAGTCTGCATGCTCAGTCTTTCTCTTTTGGGTCGGAGGGTTTCTTGAGTTGGTGGGCTGTGAGTCGGTGGTCATGATCTCCCCTTGTCAGAACTAACTCTCCTTCACCTTTAGTTTCACGCTTCAGCTGTTGCAGCCAAATTCCTGTGGTTTTGCTGATAAAACAAGTTATCTCCTAACAGCCTGGTTTATACAAGCCAGGATGCCCTGTTTGTCCAAGATGTTTCTGATTTATCTCCCTTGGGATTAGATGCCACGGCAAGTATTTACTTCGGACCTCCCCAACCTTGAATAGTTAACAAAGCGCTGGACAAAATAATTGCAACGTTAATCAATGACAGCCTTCTGCAAACTTACATCAAGACCATGACCTATTATACTGACAAATACTGATTTCCTCTGCCAAAAGGTCTGTTACTTCGTGCCTGTTACTACAAACTCTCTGGGGCAGGAACCGTCTCTTTTTTGTGTTCACGTGCAGGGTGTGTTCCAGCAGTACAGCTGCCCAGAGAGATCCTGTCCGGGGAGCTATTTACAACGGGGATCTTCACACTTACCCGTGCTGTAGCCAAACATTTGGCTCAAAAGAACAACTAGAAGTAATGCGGGTAAATAAATAGCACGTGGAGCATTTTAACCACTCTGGCAGGAAATGTCATTTTACATCTGTCCCTAGTCAGCTCTCCCTACCAGAGAGAGTTGGATACGCCGTTGATAATTGAACAGTGCAGATAAAGCAGCTGGTAACTGAACTGTGTAGATAAAAGCTGTTTCAAGCTCTACGTGGGCTTTGGTCTCTCTGTGCCATACCTTTCAGCCCTCCCGGCTCTGAAGAGTTTACCGGGTGAGACAGAACCGTGTGAGCCCGGCCAACCCGAGGAGATCAAAGCAGGGAGCTTGTTTCCCAAGAGCTCCTCCCGACCTGCTCCGAGCGAAGCCTGGTCACGCTGCCAAGGGGCTGCTCGCAAAGCTCCAGCTGGAGCAGGACAGCAGGGGTGAGCGGCCGCCGCAGAGCCAGCTCAGAGCCAAGGAAAAGCTCCTGCAGTATCGCAGCCGGTGGGTGCAGTCACCTGCGGTGTCCCGGTTTTTGTGCCTTCCCCTTTGCCTCTGGCTCTGGGAATGTGGTGCAGAGACCCTGAGCCAGCTCTGTGCCGACTGCAGGTTTGCACGTAGCCAGCTCTGCTAGGTTCTGGGGTGGAGAGGTGTCAGGCAGGGTTAGCAGGCCAGCATCCCCCTGCATTTCAGGGTTTGGTGCTTCCTTCCCCCTTTCGGGCTGCTCTGCGTCTGCAGGGCCTTAGTGTGGCAATGAAATACCCAGAGGGACATGAGAATCTTGTGTGTTTGCATAGTCCTGAGGAGAACCAAGTGACAAAAAAAAGCCATTTTGTGCCGCGGGGAAACTGCCACCGCGGGCCTTTCTGGGCAGCGCGTTCACGGTGCAGTTTTGCTGTAGTTTAATCCTGGATAAAATCCATCACGGGGGGTAAAAAGCGAGACGGGCTCGCCTGGAGATGCCGGGGATTGAACCCGGGACCTCATACATGCAAAGCATGCGCTCTACCGCTGAGCTACATCCCCCTGCCCCGCGTTGCCCGCCCTGCCTGGCGGCCAGGTCCCTGCCCGTCCTCCTTCCTTCGTTGATGCAACGGGGGGAACAGCGGCGAAGAGGCTGTATGCGGGGAAGGGAGGGCGGGGAGGTGCCTGGGCACGGACAGCGCCCCGCGCAGCGAGGGGACGCGGGCAGCCATGTGGCTCCCCGGCCCGGGATCAGGCGGTGAGTGGTGTACGGCAGCGCATAGACCTACGTGTGAACTTCAGACAGCACTTAGAAGTACGGCAACGCTCTGGCTTCGCACACACAAAGCTGTGCTTTCTTTCCTCCTTTCCTCCTCGGAAATTAGAAAATCTGTGCCGGAAAAAAAAAAATAAGAAAGAAAAATCACACAACCTCCCCGTCGGGGAATCGAACCCCGGTCTCCCGCGTGACAGGCGGGGATACTCACCACTATACTAACGAGGACGGCTCGGCGTTTCATCTCGGCGGGGCGGGGCATAACCCAAACA